TCCATCAAACATTTCTCGGCGGGCGAAGTCGTACCGAGGCCTTGCAACAGCAGCCAGAAACATTACCTTGGTAATGTGGCTCTTGGATTGCACCGACCGAATGGCCAGCACCTCATCGTCGTAAATGTAATACACGTTCTTGTTCTTGGTGAGGTAGAACCACTTTTCATCTACATGGACGATATCATGCATGTCGGAAAACACTCGACGATCACCAGGCCCAGACCGAAGGAAGGACATTGCAAACTCCAGGCGCAGCTTGATGTTGGCGTCCGTGAGCCTTGGCTTTAACCAGTTCGATTTCGCGCTGAAACGTGGTTCCGACATCTTATGACGATGGAGTGTCGTCAGTGGGATAACCACACTTGCTGCAACTGAGCGCAGAGTTCTCCGTCGTGCGTGCGGTACAGCACGGATAGCCGCCTCAATGTCGCTACGCTCCCGCTGAACTTTGCGTCCACTATTCCCTAATATAAGACGTTTTGAGACTCGATAATTGTATAAATCAATATATTACACCTCCATTAACTTATTACCTCGAATCTTTGACGCTACATTTGCTGCGCCGTCGCCGTCCTTGCGGGTCTCCAGTCCTCGCTTCCATACACGCGTGATAGTGGCACGATCACGTCCAATCTCACGAGCAAGGTTGACTATAGCTCCTCGAGGAAGCACGCCACGCGAACTGATCTCTAGCATTCGCTCAAAGAGGGCTCTGCGCTCGCTGTCGCGCAAGTTGGGACCCCGCATGGACGCGCCCGTATCAGCAAGGCCAGAATGCAACGCAGCTGGTTGGGTAGAGGAGCGTGCCAGCAACATGGTACCTTAATCAGAAGTCGGCAAATGCAAAACTGAATGAACACCGTAAAATATTCTACTCCCGAAAATAAGGGGCAAAGTTTGGTTGGCCTTCCCTCCAAAACTAAAACTCCAATTTGAGCACTTCTGGTACCCAATCAAAGCTCGATCCTTGTACTTTTTGGAACACCAATCAGATCGCGAATCAGCGTGAATTAGAGTATTCTAGGCCAATCGGAAGTGAAATGCTGCAAAAATTCCGGAACAGAGTGGTACATAGTAGAAACAAACCCTCCGAATAATAGTGCAATCAATCCGTCACTACGAATTGAAATAGAAATAAAAACACGGTATAACGTTAACGACAATTGTTTGTATACTACTACTAGTACTACTAGTACTACTACTTATGACAACCCTCCTTGGCGGCGCAGTGCTCGAAGCGTCGTAGAAATTTCCAGCGCAGACGGGCGTTCCTGAGGCTGCCACGTCACGCACCGCTGGATGAGGAGCGCAACGGACGGCGGACACGTGGCCGACACATCAGGCTTTAAACTGGCCTCCCGCAGCCGCTCCATGAGCACAAAATTGGACACTTCGTTCATGTGCATATATGGCACTTTGTGCGTATCCAGCTCCACGAGCACCATTCCAAACGAATACACGTCTGCGGCCACAGTGTAGTGGTTGCCCTCTATATATAAAAATAATAAAAATAATGTTAATAAGAAGAACAATGTGAGAACCTACTGACTATTTATTCGTTTACAACATAAATTATATATCCACTAACGACCCCATAAAAGACTTGTTGCATTGAACTGTACAAGACAATTGGAGCCGTCGCATCGAAAAAACTAGATTCATAAATAAAATTAACTTGGTCACGGCGCCACATTGTTTAAAGTATATATATATATATAATGTTAAACTACTACACCATTCGAATGCAAGATCTCGCATACAATTCAAGCATCGACAAATACCTTTCCACCACAAGCCACTGGAATACATACACCAAAATATAGTGAGTTAAATTACACTCGAAACCAAATCACCACTCGACTCGAATAAAAATCACTACAGATCCCACCATCTCTCTTAAATACAGATACAGCACATAAACCCATATATATATATATATATCACTCTTGCACTACATCCAAAATCCAATCACCATCCAATACAAAAAAAAACCACACATATATCGCCCATCGACCACATAAAACCCAAAGTAAAAACATTCCTATAAAGCCACATATATAAATATATAAATATATATTTGCAGTATTTATTTATTTATTTCACCTCCCTCTCCACCCCATCCAACAAAAAATACAATCTCACCATCCAATACAACCACACACATATATATATATACCATAACTTTCACCCTATATAATCCCCAGTCCAAACCTCCCCATATATATATATATATATATATTTCTCACCGAGCACTTCGGGCGCAGTCCATCGGCATGTGCCCACGCCCTGGGTCATCGTGTCCAATGTAACATCACGAGCAATGCCAAAATCCGTCAGTTTTGCACGCAAGTGATGGTTTAGCAGTACATTTCTGGCCTTCAAATCTCGATGGATAATATCCATAGAGTGCAAATACAGCAGTCCATCCACGACGTCGGTGGCAATCTGCAGCTTATCCGTCCAATCAAATGAGTCGGGAGTGGTCGTCTCGAGGTGCTGGCGCAGGTCCCCATAGTCCATATATTCCACCACGAGCTCAATCTCCCGCGGTCGAAGCCAGCTCACGCCGATGAATTGGACGATGAATGGAGACTCGAGGCGCGCCATGAGCTTGACTTCGTCGATAAATAGCTGGACGTTGGCGGCCGTGCGCTCGGACGCGAGCTGCTTTTTTATAGCCACGCGCTGATTTTTGTATTTCGCCAAGCTTACGACTCCGTGTGCGCCTATATAACACAACAATAAATACATACCAGAGAGTAGTAAAAAAATAAATACCATAAATACATACCAGAGAGTAGTAAATAAATAAATACCAGAGAGAAAAAATACATCAAAAAGAGGAAATTCAATAAATACCAGGGAATTAATTACACATGGGCAAAAGGGTATTTTAAAAATAAATAAAATAAAAAATGATGGGAAGATTGGATCATACAGGTACAGTGAACGCCGTATGTTAAGCCACACTATAAGTTGTGCCGAATTCACGCGATGTAATTTGGATAGTGTACTTCGAAATTCGAGGAATAGTTGCACGCGACATGTATTTTGGCCAATAAGATGACTCTATTGTCTTCCGTCCATATTATTAGATAAATATCACGTTTGAATTGCCGAAACTTCGGTGTGGCTTAAAATACGTCGTTCACTGTAGACAACATTATTGGAATATATAGCAAATACATAAAATTACACAGGGACCATAGATATGGCGAAATATAAACAAACAGGTGTTGAAAAGGGAATCCATTGAAAGACTGGATACCACGATATCATGAATGTATGATTGATTTAGTTATATATATATATATATATATATATATGGAGAAACCCCACGTAAGCATCAACATTGTATTGCATCACGAGTATATCAAATGAAATCAACAGGGATCATTCATTACCTTGAATCACACACATTGTAAATATTATTTTCAGTTTATGTATATGTTGCTATTTTTATCATTTAAAAAGATAAAATTAAAAAAAGAAATTCCACAGGATACATCTATAGATTCCACAGGATATATATATATATATATTAGTGCAACAAGTACTAGTAGTACACTAGTCGAAATGGACACCAAAGAGTCATATATATATATTGCATCACAAGCACCAGTGAATGAAACCCCACACAAGCATAATATATATCACTCCGTCCGATGCATCTCAAATACACATGACACAATATAAACATATTATATACCTGTAGCCAGCACTTCCAGCGACACGAGTTGGCTTTCATCGAGTCGCCACAGATGTAGGTCGCCCATGTCCAGTTTAATGCCTACAAAATCGGTACTTGCCGTTTTTTGGTCGAGCCAGACGACACTTGCGGTGGAATCAGACGAGCTGCGGCGCAAGTTGGCTGGGTATCGCCGCTTTCGACACAGAAATAACAAGCTAAATAGCACCAGCCCCACGACCACGACCAACAAAGTGACTGTCACAGGGGACACGGCATCTACAAAGAAAACTCAAATCTGCGATACAGTTTCATGATATCTACAAGAAATTGAACCTGATTTATATATCTTTGCATGACAATAACAACAACGACGAAAATGGACAACTATAAATATGTATTATTGTATGATAGAATAATTTTGTCGTCTATAGATGTGTATAAAGCAAAAGGAATTTTAAATATATATATATCTCACATGTATGAAAACAAATGAATATTAATATAATATTAATAATATTCCTATATCTAGTCATGCTCCTTCAATATATATAAAATAGAATTAAATGTACAACGAATAGGGACACAATTCGTAGGAAAAAGGCCCATGTACACAAAGAATCATCTTGAAAGGGACGGGTACCATAAATGTATTTATATCTAACATGTATGCGTAGAAAACAAATGAATATTAATATAATAATAATAATAATAACAATATTTATTTATATAGCCATGTTCCTTCAATATATATAAAATAGAATTAAATGTACAATGCATAGGGACAAAATTCGTAGAAAAAGGTCCATGTACACAAGGAATCGACGGGTACCATACCGTCGGCGGACGACAACGACGAGTCAGCGGCATTACTCGATTCTGCCGCGGGGGCTTTCGACATTGATGACGCGGCGGCAGATGTCGGGGTCGCGGCAATGCAAGACACGGTGCCGGTGGAACTGCTCTCGCATGCCTTCATGCCCAGAGTCGGACGCTCCACGATGGAAGGACACTGCGCCGTACAGGCTTGTTGCGACGGGTACACGTTGCAGATGGTCCCGGACGTGTCTGCGGAGATGCAGTTGAACGTTCCGTTTACGACACCCACAAGCACGACGAGCTTGGAGTCGGGGTCGGCGAAGCACGTCCATCTGGTGTTGTTGCGCATGCACAACGCCGACGTCGGCACTGCGTTCGGGTTGGGGGTGGGCGAGGGAGTGTTCTTGAGAACAAATGGAACCTTGGCGCAGAAGGGACTGCTCGTGATACAGTGAATCGCTAGAGTGGGCTGGGACTTCTTGTACGCGTCGCATGATGCCAGGTCGGCCTGGAAAAAGCAATCGGTGGACGCCGTGGACTGCACCATGCACTGCACGTCGTCCTTCCCTTCCTTCGTCACGGATGCATACACCAGCGCGGTCTTGCCATCGATGGACACGCACGCAAAGTCCGCCGTGCTCACCATGTTCCTTGAAGGAAGCGTTGTCGACGGCAACGACGGTCGAGATGGATTACTCACCACATTGCACGATGTGAGCGTTGTATAAAACGTGTTTCGCGCGTCTCGTGTCGTAAACGTTTTAATGAATTTAAAACGTTTTAAATGTAAATAATGCATTTCAAACACGTTTGAAAAATATGTCTGCGCCTTTGAAGCGGTTTTTATCAGTGTAATGTCGTGAACTGTCTGTCTTGCCAACATGATTAGTTCACCACGTCAAACTATGCAAAACACGTTTAAACTCTTTAGTTGATGGATTACTATCATAGGTAGTAAGTAGTACTACTAGTAGAAAGTCCGCCGGTCAACCTGAGAAAAAGTAGGTTACTAGTACTACTAATAGTATTGTAGGCCTTTTGGGAAGACGCATCAGATAGCACATTGTAACTTCTTTATTACTGAAGCAATTTCAACGTCTCTTTCGAATAATATTTCTTCAGACTACACTTGAAATGGGTGGCATTCACGTGATGAATAGCCAGGGTTATCGTCGCCTTCAAAATTTGAGCTGAAAATGTGTTAGTAGGTGCTAGTATCTACTAAAACATCTGATTCGGCTTCACTGATTGGGTATAATTAAAAATAACACATCGTCTTATTGGATGGCCAAAGCAAGCGATTTGCCAAAGCAGGAACTTCTCCATCGATCGACATACATCGTTCTCCACCATCTACTCCACACAACACAGTATCTAATCCTTCGTTAAAGCCCTTGTGTTTTATATAAGCCTTATTTGAGTGAAGTAAGTGAACGCTTTAATGACAAAAGGAGCTCCAGTAAGGGCCCTTCCATTTTGTCAATATTTCATGCAATTTTTGCTCAAAATTGGAGTAAATCAGTTCAAATTGAAGATAAGATTATGGTCTTTCTAACGTAACGACTAGTTTTGAAACTGCCAAATTCCCAATATTTCATATTTACATTACAGTTTGTATGACCCTGGTATCATATCAAGCACCGCTGACCCAAGCATCCTCATCACACTTGTACACGACCGACGACGGTGCCCACAAGCTCGTTCAAGTTGCGCCCCATCCCAGGGACGTCAGCGCCATTGCAGGCGTCAAGTCGGCCACACACGAGGAAGATGAGTACAGAGGTCTTGCATAAAGAATCAAACGAGTTTCCCGTTCTTGAAATCTCTTTGCGTTGCGGTACGTACAGCTATTCTCTTGCGTCTTGCTTCGATCCAGTCCTGTTTTCAAGATGCTGCTTCCATACCCCCTCGTACGATATTCTCTTACGCAGCATCGATCCATGGTAGGACAGACATGCATTGGTCGGTCTGCCACGATGAACTCGATCGATCGTGGCAGCGTACGATACAATGAATGAGCGCTCGACGAAATCAGCTCTCCACCATACGCTTACGTACACACATGTACTCAGCGTTATGCTTGCATAATACCTTCATGCCTTTCCTCATCGAGTGCTAGATCACCAACATGACTTGTAACGTTAAGGACTACAGTATATAGTAAGGGCCAGTTCCAAGTAGATATGGTGCACGTCATCTATAAACTACCAACTTTTCACAAAACTTTCTGACTTCTATTTCATATTCATTACTCAAAATTTCAGCAAATTGAGACGTAGAATCGATAGATCTCAATGTGGTGAAGAAATTTTACGTCTCAGATTCAAAATTAGTGATGAATGGTCCTGAAATGGATATTTAACCTAGCGGTACATGGGCGTTTGGATATTTGGCCATTGGGGTGGCCACTGAGACGTATCTTGATTTTTGTATGTGACTCTTATCCGTATATAATATCCGGAGGCAGTTGGGACCTTTAACCTCCCACTCCAGTGATAAAACGCATGAAATCGGTATTTAATGTGGTTTTGGGTTTAACTACATTAATTGTACGTTAAATAATAAGACCTCCACTCTTCGATTTGGCCAGTTGGAAGTTTTTAGATGACGTGCACCATACTACGTAGTATTTTTAGGGTATGGTAACATTACAAAAATAATATTCATGGAAAAATGGGATAAACGAAAAATGACATTTTCAAAATGGAGGTATAAGGTCCATTTTGTAACGTTTTGGACCTTTCAAGGAGTAAATCCCACGTCGAATTATTGGATTTGGGTTAAAACTCTTCAAGCAAGACATGTTTTAATTCTTATCAGATTTATTGAATTCGGCCCCAAAATGGCGTTTTGGGCCAGAATATAGTAATATTTCAGGTTACCAGACCGGCGCTTAGCAAATAAAGTGGTTCCAAGTACAGTTTCCTACTTTTTTACCTCTATTTCTGCCATTTTTTACGCAATTCACTATACCAAAAGTGGAAAAAGAAGTCCTTGGCATCTTTTTCTAAAATCGTGAAAAAAAGGGTAAATCGATATTGATTGGCTCATGCTATTTCTGAAAACTACTTGGAACTTCCCCTAACTCTGTTCCAGTTAGTGATATTATTGGTCCAAAGCCGATTCTTGAACGTCCATTCGATTAATCATCAGTGGGGATACATATACCCAATCATCGAATTATCCTAACGTTAAGTTTTAATACTTGCTCCAAAGGTTCAACGCTTTTGACGACCAAAAAAACTAGCGTTGGATGGGGAAGCAAAGTGGGAGTCAAGTATACATAAGAAATATCTCGGTTAAACTATATAAATATGCTGATGAGAATATTTCTCATGCGCAATTTCAACCTAAGCGTAGTACTGTTATTGATAATATTGTGAATTCGCTATAAACTTCCAGCATTCGCGCGGTTTGACTAACGTTAATCAATATTGAATCACTCTGGAGTTCTGATTGGTTGAATATGCTTGTCCTTTCTGCAAGATCCACTCGAAATTGGATTAGCCAATAGTGTCGATGATTCGTGATTTGATGCCGCGGCGAGATTCGATTCGACGGGGTCTGGAAATCTGTTCCGAATCCACAATAACTACGTCGTACTATTATTAATACTTGTACTATTAATACTACGTAGTAGTAAATAAAGAGTACTACTGTACTAACTACTGACCAATCATATCGCCAAACACGACTTCGAAGTACTTCTCTGGTCCGGAATAATTGTTGTACTCGTCTTGTCATTGGCGGAATTTCTCTAGTATTTTGTCAATTCACAATCTGATTGGCTTGACGGAAATTCTCTCAAACTCTAAATTTTGTCGAAAAGCAATGAATTGTGCAATTATTAGAAAGATTTTGCAACTCATCCCTTCACTGCCACGCCACTAGAATATGCCAAAATCGGCTTTTTTGCTTCAGTGTACTGACCAGTCAAATTTTGGTTTTGCAGACCAGTCACTACACTTATCCGGTTATTGTACGGATTCACACCTGCATCGTCCCGCAGCTCAGTGTTCAAACATGGTACTCGCACAGAAGGACCTCGCCCTCCTGCTTGTCACGC